GTTCAGCGGCGCCCAAGTTCATGCGTTTGAAACCTACACAGCTTCCAGCGGGTTGGCCCTAAATTCAACATTCAGTTCGTAAATTTATTTCACTACTTGGTAATATGATTTTGGTACCACTTACTGAGTGGTTGCATCCAAAGTTAACTTGTCCGTTATAACATTTGAATTGGCAATAGTCTCTTGCTTGTGCGGCGACAGCCACCAACAGGAGAACCAGGAACATACGAGCGGCTGGAAATAAATATAAATTAGATACAATTAATTTTCCTTATTTATAATACTACTTATAAAAATTAAAGAATAATATGCATAATACTTTTAGTATCCAAGCAATCATTCGGAATTTAGTACTTACCCATTTTACAAGTCTTTCTTGATAATGATACAAGTAGAATATGTCATTAGAACTTTTTCTGCCACTTTTATATATGTTCTTTGTTTTCTTAGATGTGTTACGTAATTACTGTTAAGCAAACATTATTATTGTAACTGATTAATATTATCAAATTTTCTGGATGGAAATAGAATAATATTATTGAGTTCGTTATTAAATACACGTTGCTAAGCATAACATTTTCCTAAATATTTGTCTCACGCCAGGTAAGAAATAACAATTTGGACATAATATTTGATTAGCTTATCTTTTTAAATTTACTTCTACAAATAATTATATTAGTGCTTGTTTTTATTTATATTGAGATTAGGAAGAGGGTTCTCAGTATATATTCTGCTTACTGGAACTGCTTCTGCTTTTTTGACCTAGTTTTTAATCATATCGTTTTCACGAAGGCCTATAATTAAAATACAGCGAAGCTTATATAAATTCTAGATGTAATTCATTAACTTTCCGAATGAGAAGTTTGTTCACATAAGAAAATCCGATTTGCTAATTTTATGTTTTCTCGACGTTTCAAACAATTCTGAATCGAATGAGTCAAAATTTGGAAAAAGTATGTGTATGTGTGTGTGTAAACAGATTTTGGACCCTTCATCGACGTTTTCTCAAAAACGGGTGGGCCGATTTCAGAAATTTAACATCCCTTTGATGTAATTTGACAAGAACTAGCATTTGTCGGTTTTGCGCAACAGTCAAGTCGTTTCTCGTTAATAGCAGAAAAGTGAAAAAAGGCTACGTTTTAGCCTGCAATTTTAAATTTACTTTAAGATTTTTATAATTTTTTTTGGCAATAGATATCATGGTTTTATAGATCTCACTAAAATATTACGGCCCTACGACAAGTCGTTTAATTTATGTGGCTTTATTTTGACTATGAAGTTCATGCACTAAACTACTACTAAACAGTACTACGAAAATTGTTTGAATTGTATAAATTTTTTGAATCTTGGAATAATAAGGTACAATTTTAAGACATACAAGCAGACGTCCCTGTAGACCATGATTAATATAATTACAGATATTATAATTCTGATTGATAGATATCAATTGAAAATCTTAATGTTTAGAAATGAGTAGAAGCAAAAACTTTATTTTTGTAATAAACAGCTGAAGATTCTATCTAAATATCAAAAATTTCAATTTCGATTGCTTGTTAATGATAACACATTTTGGGTAGTTTATGCAACTTGCCTTTAGGCTAAATGCCACTTTCAACTAGTTAAGTTTTCAAATTGTGTTATAATTTTTAGTATGATTTGAACATTCTTTGCATCAATTACGTACACACACTTATATACATACATATATATATATATATATATATATATTATTATTATTATTATTATTATTATTATTATTATTATTATTATTATTATCATTATTATTTTTTGTTCAATTTATTTAAACATTTCAAATCGTATAATAGCAGAAAGAACCATACAAATATTTCAAAAAAATATTCAATCTATAGAGGACATTTTTTAATAATATGTATATGGCTACAGTGAATTAACAAAGTGTACGAAATACATAAAAAACATAATACAAAATACATTTCCTGTTTTAGTATCCAAATTTAAATTTGTATTTATTCCCTAATAGTTATATTAAAAATACAAACTCGCCATATCAATTTTTCTGATGTACAATTTATGCGGTACAATTTGAACATAAATTATGTTTCTAGATCTTCGAATATTTACTTCCTAAATTTTATTTTTTAACAGCGATGAGAACTACGGGTTCTGTGAGCGGTGTGTGCTCGCTTACATTAATATTCTGTAATTTTTCATGTAAGTGCAAACCAGTGGTTATTCACTCTTCTTTACAATTGCTAGATTTAATATATTAGGTATGTGCATCGAATAGTGCTTACCTAAATGTGATGCATTAAAGCCATCTAGAGGCTATTGTTACTTGAAATTATATTTGAGATATATAACCTCAAATGGAAACTTAATGTTATACTTATTAATATCGCGAGCTTCGAATCAACTCGGGACTAGTTAGGACTAGTAGCGCTAACCCACGTTCTTACCGGTTACGTCGCTGGATCTTTGTTTTCTTAGGATGTATATAAATATAATTTTATTTCAAGTTTCATTACAACAAATGCAAAATATGAGAAGCATTAATAAAGTGGATAGTATGAATCTAGAATTATAGTATCAATATTATAATTTTGATAATATATCATCAATTATTTTTTTGCCATTATTTGATATATTTGGACTCGGATTCTACAGAACCTTATCCATGTTAGTCCCAGGGACAATATGAATATCAATTTATAGTCAAAAATTTATATTATAATAAAACAAGTAATTTATCTAACAAACTCAATTTAAAAATAAATAATTACAGTAAAACCGTTGACTGATAAAAATCAGATATTTTTCTGGAAAATTTGCCAAGAAAATATATCAAGGGCTATATAGCCAGTACCCAATGAAACCATTTCTAGCATTATAGAACATGTTAGTATTAGCAAGAAAAATAACACGTGTTACAAAATATAGTATAACACGTTTATAAAAGTCACTTGGTTATTTAAAATAAATTTTGTAATGTATTATTTTTTATTAATGTGAGTTTAAAAAAACATTTTAATCGATAAATAGTATTGAACTGTTAATTAATTTTTGGTTTCACAAACTTTTATAAAAAAATGATTGAAATATTCAAATTTTAATCAGAAAAATTTTAATAAAATCCGCAGCAACGCGTTGCCGAGAACGCTAGTATAAATAAATAAATAAATAAATAAATATATATATATATATATATATATATTTATATATTTATATATATTTATAATTATGAGAATTCTGGCCCTACTGAAATATATTAACTAGCTCATTAAAATTAAGTTTGAGTATCCATCATATTGCTAAGAAAAATGATAGTTTTATTGTTGTATGTTTATTTTTTATCATTTATTTACATTATGTACAGTTATTTCAAAAGCTAAATGTATGAATGTAGTTCAAATATTAGAGGCGGTATTTTAAGTGAGCGATTTATTGTTGGCACAATCCACGGCTGGTGCAGGATCCGCATCCGGCGCAGTTGCTTCCTGCTTCGTAGACGCTGCTGCGCAACATGTTGCCGTTGACGTAGTTGCAGGCCATCAGGTAGGAGTTGAATTGTTGGTGCTTGTATGTGACGACTGCGCAACCGACGCGAGTTGACTTGGCCCAGGCGACTTGGGTGAAGTGACCGATTACTTTGCCGCTGCAGAACATCAAGAAAAGTTAGCAAATGAGGACATCTGATATGTGCTTTTAAACTTACTTTCCACCGGTGAAGGAGTTGATTTCGGACAATTGGACATCCTTGACTTCATCGAACCAGGATTTGACACCTTGTTTCAAGACTTGTTCGACGGAGTAAGAAGCGGTTGTGAAGGAGTTGAACAAGTTTTGGCCGTTTTGGGTTTCTAGAAGAAAGTTATGAAATCAAAGTCTCGTTGCTTTTCTAATTCTTTTATGCGTATTATTATATTTACCAGTGTCACGGCAGCTGTCGTGGCTCATTTTGCATTGCAAGACGTTCAAGTAAGCCAAATGAGCAAGGTCATCATCCCAAACCTAATAAGTTTACAAAATTAGACACGAATTTTTATACACCTTTCTAATCGGTTACTTACTAATTCGTTCATGTTCTTGGCAGCGGGCAAGTTTTGTCCAGCGGCGTTCTTGGCTTGTCCCTTGGCAACCATGCTTCTGTAGTTGTTGTGTTCATCCAAAACGAATTTTTGTTCAGCGGCGCCCAAGTTCATGCGTTTGAATCCTACACAGCTTCCAGCGGGTTGGCCCTAAATTCAACATAAAATTCTCGTAAATTTATTTCACTTCTTGGTAATATAATTTAGGTATCACTTACGGAATGGTTGCATCCAAAGTTCACTTTTCCGTTATAACATTTGAATTGGCAGTAGTCTCTTGCTTGGGCGGCCACAGCGACCAAGAGAAGAACCAAGAACATGCGAGCGGCTAAGAAAAAAAAGCAATTTTTAAATTTTCAAAAGCAATCTTACAATTAAAAAAAAAAAAAAAACTCACCCATTTTGCAATGCTTTCCTATGAATTACTTAGAAAGAATATAATATTTTGGAAAACGTCTTGGTTTTTATAGTATCTCTTTTATTAGCACAAGTGCAAATTATGTAACAATTGTTATTGTCAAAATTATTGCTTGCGGATGTTAATTAATTGTTTAAATTAAAATTTTGTATTATTGGAGTTTTTCAAGCATATACATTCATTAATTCAACAATATTTGCGTGTACTAATATAATTGTATGCGGTAAGCCATTTATACTTTGAAAGCAAATATTTTATGTCGTTATCTTCCACTTCTCACTTTAGGTTTTCTTATGTACAGTTGTGTTAGTCTTTCTGTCAGAATATTTCGAATTTTTGTCGTCTTTTTTGAAAAAGAGTTTATGAGGTAAATGAATCTTCGAAAACAACAAATTTATCGTGCTTGTTAATATCTGAATTAAACAATTGTATATTGAATAAAATCTTCAAATTTTTATTGCAAATATGAAATAATATTTATATGATAATTGGAACAATTTGTACATTTGTTGTAATTAATATGGGGAATAAGGCTTGCATAGTCCAGTATCAGTACAGGAGCTGCATTCAGCACAAGTTTTCCCAGCATCATATACACTTTCAAATAACATATTTCCGTTGACGTAATTGCAAGCCAACAAATATGAATTCAAATTCCCTCGTTTGTAAGTTGCCAATGCACAACCTACATATGTAGACTTAGCCCATACCAATTGTGTAAAATGACCTATAATTTTACCCCTGCAAAATAAATATATTAATATATTGCAATATTGAATATTTAAGAAATTTCTTAATTCTTACTTGCCGCCGGTGAACGATTCAATTTCTGATAACTCCACATCCTCAATTTCGTCGAACCACATTTCAATACCTGTTCCTATAACATGCTCGATTGTCAAATTAGTGGAAGACATGACGTTATATAAATTCTGACCATTTTGAGTATCTAGAAATTTGAGGATTGATAATTTGAATATTGGTAATGTTAAATATATATTTTAGGAGTTACATGTATCTCTGCATTCGTCGTGGCGCATTTTACATTGCAAAACGTTCAAGTAAGCTAAGTATGCCATTTCATTGCACCATAACTAAAAAATAATTAAAAATATATTAATATAAATGTCATGAACAGACGATAAGATTAATTCATGAAATAATTTGATTTAATTTATTATTGTAAAGCGTATTTGCTTTATTTTTTAATTTAGAGTAAGTCCAGACATTAATATGATATTCAATACTGAGTTCTCAGATTATCTTATTTTAAAAAAAGTGAAAAATAGAATGATAAAAGTTGCAAACCTACTTTAAAGCTGAGTATTTTTGATTTGCTAGATTTATATATTTATTGCAATTCATATCAGGCTAACTCTTGATAAATCGCTTTAAACTTCGTTCTTTCTTTAATGAGCTTATCGAATTAAAGTAAGTTTCATGCTATTTAACAAATCAAAAAAGATTATTAAATATCAAATAATGTTACTTGAACAATCAACAAAAGAGCTTTATTAGCCTATTTAACTTGTAATTAGATAAAATTCATTAATTTTGGACACTAAAATTGTTTCCGGGATAAACAATATTCAACGTACGCTCATGGTACGCACCAAATACATTTTACTTAATTTTTTTATTAATTCGAGATTTTTATTGATTTTTATTGATGATTTTTATTGATTTGATCTATATGTGACTTAAATTTAATACTTGATTGCAAAAACTATTTGCACATAGTCAAATCAATTTATACTTTATAAACATGATTGTGTGAATAGTCAATAAATATTTGATATACCATAAATTGGTTACTATAATAGAATTGAGTATGAAATTAACCAGTTATTGTTGATGTTTCTAGCTAGATTATATAACTATATAATCTAGCTAGATATTACCAAATGATTCATATTTTTAGCTGGAGGCAACTTCTCTCCTTTTCCATTTTTAGCTTGACCAGTAGCCACCAAACTTCTGAGACGATTATGTTCATCTAAAATGATTTGTTGTTCTTTTGCTCCCAACCGTAGTCGTTTGAAGTCAACACAAGTTTCATCAGGTTCTTGCTAAAAATAATTGAGAAATAAATATTTTTTTAAATAAACTAATAAACAAAAACTAATAAAGAACTTACAGAGTGGTCACATCCTAAATTTGTTTTACCATTATTGCAAGTGTATTGGCAATAATACTTGTTTGCTTGAGCTGCTACGATGAGGGATAAAAAAATAACAAATATACGTATGGTGACCATTTTTCTAGTATAGTCTAGTAGACAATGCTAACAAATTTTACTTACATTTTGGTTTAAGTACTATGAAAAGTAGTAATATATTTTCTTCATTATCGTTAAAGTATTGTAATGGCCATCACATTTTCTTATCGGTTTATGAATTGCGGTTAATATAACGCAGACAGCAAAGTAGTCATAAACTTGATAATGTATTATAACTCTAAAATTTTATAATTACTTTTCTTGGTTTTACTCGGTAAACAAAAATATGAACAACTCATGGCCATTAAGAGTTACAAAAATTCAAATCAAATATATTTTAATACTTTCTAAGAAGCTGTAATTACATATTAAGCGTTTCATATACTTCTATGAATAATTTATTATAACTTTTAATTAAATCAATATTTCAAACAAACAAACATGTGTAATAATGTTCTTGTATCTTCATAAAATTGATGCAACTTTGAGGTTCATCATAATATATACAATATAAAAATTATTGTATTATATTACGTTTTTTATGCAAGTGTTTCAATTCAATCATTCTTATTTACGTAATAAGTAACTTAGATAACTTTTATTTTTAATATTTTTATAACTTAGATTATTTTATTTTATTTAATAGTAAGGCAGTAAACTACAATATTTAAGTACTAAAGCTTTGTGAAAGCACTTGAAATTTGATATATCTTTTTGAGATTTTTTTAATATTATTTTATATAATTTAATTGAATGTATGTCGATTTGTTTCACGTATCTTTTTAAATCGACTTATCTATTAAAATATTGAATTTTATCGATAGTAGTCTGGCCACAAATATATAAGACTAAATAACTTTTTATATTAAATGAATAACTATTATAAAATTTTGTATGAACTTTTTATTTACTACGGATCTGAAAAAGTGAACTATAATATCTTAGTAATAGTAACTTGAAGGGTTTATAAAAATTTAGAAACATATTTTTGAATCATATTTTTTTAAAAGCAAATATCGTTTTTTAGTCTATATACACATTTTGGTCTGTAATATATGTTGATAAATATTTCAAATTATACAAGCTGCGGAAAAATACTAATGCTAGTATAATTGCTAATATATAAGATTAAATATCTGTTACATATTTGAAAAACAAAATGTTTGAACTTTGTCTAATCTACTACTAATATTTAATTGAGTAAACAGGCTCTCAGTTTACTCAGTCTTGTCTTTTATACTGGTGTCAGCTGTGTCAACTGTGTGCATAATGTTTGATATATGTAATTTAAATTACATTTTTAATAATTATTTAACTATTTGATATAATACTATTATTTTGACACGATAAAATATTTGTGGGACATTTTCGAATACTTAACCAAATTTTTTAAAAAAAAGTCAACAAGAAAATTTTCAAAATACCTCATTTATTTATTCATAGAGTTAAATTTAAATGCGTAAATAGACTGAATGTAATTATTTTGCAGCTTTAATACAACTACTGTGTATGTTTTAAAGTTATTTTAATATTGTGAACAAATACTGCTATAATCAATCAGTTTTATACACATATTCACCTTTCATATTTCCATGGCGATAATTGCATGCTAATAAATAAGAATTAAATTTATCATGTTTGAAACTACTTGCGGAACAACCTAATTTGGTAGTTCTAGACCAAACGACTTGAGTGAAATGGCCTATAACCTTCCCATTGCTAAAATATTTTTTATAAATTTTAATACTTCACTTCATTTTAAAATAATTTCACACTTACCTAGATCCTTCGAATTTCTTAATATCAGAATTGTGTTCGTATTTTATTTCATCGAACCACATATCGACTGCCTGTTCGATTATCTGTGTTTTGTTAAGTTTGTAAGTAGCCATTGCATTAAATAGATTTTGCCCATTATCGTATTCTGAAAATAATATAGATATTTATATGATTATGCGCAGTTTAGAAATAGTATCACAGCTAAGTATGCATCTTATTTAACATTTTTATTCACCTGTATTCCTGCATTTGTCGTGTGCCATCTTACATTGTAACACGTTCAGTTTTGCTAAATAAGCTAAATCGTCGTCCCATTCCTGAAAGAAAATAGAATTTGTATTACTTTTGGGCATCATTTTTTATATTATTTTTATTTTATTTACCAAATACGTCATATCTGTAGCTTTCAGCAAACTGGTACCTTCTCCATTAACTGCTTTGCCTGTAGTAACAAATTTTCTCTTTTCATTGTGTTTTTTGAGTACCAGTTCTTTATCATCTTTATTGAAGTCTAAAGCTTCATAATCCACACAAATTTTTGCTGGTTTTTGCTAAATAATATATAACAATTTAATGATAAATAAACAAAGTGCTGCCTATTGTAATTAAAAAATATCATTTACTAATTCATATGATTATTGTTGTAATCATGTTTGTCAATATTAATAGAAAAGATTTATCTGTACAAATTTATATTATTATAGTAACTTTTGGTTACTCTGATTTTTTATTTAAATTATCAAAAAATTATGGAATATTTTTTATGTCAAAACATATCTATAATAGAAATAAGTATATTTTTATAGTTCATTTGTTGAATTTATGAACATATATTACTCACATCATGGCCACATGCAAAATTTGTCGTTTCTCTACATTTAAATTGGCAAAAATCCTTTGCAAAAATATATTGTAATTGTAGAAAGAAAAGAGCGTAGGAAAATGCCAATTTGGCACCTAAAATAAAAAATATAAATATAAATATATTATTTCAACAAATAGATATTAATAAAACATTTATTTAAGAATAGCATATATATGATATTTTTTACCCATTCTGTAAATACAAGTTTATTGAAAAAGTATTGATGTTAGTTATTGCCGTTACTCAATGCAGGTACAATTATTGAACTAACAAAACTTAAATGGTATTTTTATCAAAATCTGTAACAATTCGATACGCAGTAATTGGCGTTACTTTCTTATATGTTCATGATATCTAACATGTTTTGGTATATTTTATTACATATAATTATTGAACTGATAATAACAAATATTTCCATGGTTTCATTTATATAATATAAAATAAAACTAGTGGTGCATGGCATTATTCTTTATGGCAAATTATTAGTACTTTCCATACCAAAAACTATTTTATTAGAAAAAACTTTGCAAAACTTTGAAAAAAATTAGTTTTTTGAGAAATTTTGAAATTTTTGAAAAAATTTTACTTGCTTGAAAAAATTGATTGTTTATATTTTGATTTTTTTATATTTTGATTTTTGAACATTTTTTTTAACAATCGCGCTGCATAGCTGATTTGGAGTCAAAATATAATAATCTCCTTATCAATAGGAATCAATTATTTTTTTTGAATTATTCAAATCGGCTGATCCGTGTTTGCGTAATCGTCGACGAAAATTTGTATCCGCGCACACACACACATACATCAATTTTGTCTAAGTTATGCCAAAATCTTCAGAAAATGCTGAAACGTAAGATATATAAAAATTCATTTTCGATTATTTTCGATTACTATAACTTACACTACGGGAAGTTAAAGATTCAGTAAAAAGATTTTTAGTAAATGAACGCAAAGTATTTTTGTATTATATTTTATTTATAATACAATTTTACAATACAATTTTAATATAAGCATTAAAACACTTACATAAAACGTATATGAAAACGACCTCTAATTTGAGCATCAATTAACGTATATAAGGATGATCCTTAATTTGAACCATCATGCTAAGTTTTATCAAAATACCAGTCGAGCAATGGAACGTTTCTGCTTCTTGAAAAATTAAGACAGCTATTTTTCTGTACTTAAAATTTTAAAGTACCTAATTTTATTACAAATTTTGTGCACCAAACCCATGGTTACTAATAGTCAATTATTGGTGCCAGTAATTCAACTTTTCTTGATGACTTTTATTATATTGTTCTATTCGCCGATTTCTTTGGTACTCTATGATTTCTTGTTTAGACATAACCTTGAGGACAGGTTCAGGTTGTGAAACAGCTTTGGAACGTTTCTTATTTGTATCAACTTTTGGTTTCTTAAAATCATCTACATCATCAAAATCAAGTTCGTACATTCTTTTGTTCAACTTGGTGCTATGAGAATAGTTACAAATCATTTCAAAAGTATTCATATTGTGTCTTTGATAATTGGTGACGGCGCAACCTATGAGGACTGATTCGCCCCATATCGCTCTGGCGAAATGACTGATTTCGCGACCACTGGAAAATTGAAATAAATAAATAATAATAATAATAAAATTAATAAAAGCATAGTATGTAGATTCAAATAAAAATTATATTTAGAAGTATTATAAAAAAATACCGTGTATCGCCTTGGAACGAAACAATGTCATCAAGTTCCACTTCGTCTTTTTGAGAAAACCATTCTTTCAAAGCCATTTGTATAATTTTATCTGAAGTGTAATTAAACTCGGCGTGAGTTTTAAATACATTTTGTCCCACGTGAAATTCTATTCGAAAAAGAATAAAATATTAAATATTTTGTAATTCTTGTAATAATTTATATGTAATACCAGTGTCGAAGCAGGTGTGCGCATTAGTTCCGCAATCCATTGTTGACAACGAGGCCAAAAATGCCATTTCATCGCTCCATTCCTAAAATAGTAAAAAATATCTACATATTCCTTCATTTATTTACAACACATGAATTTATCTATACTAGAACTTTATAAATAATTGTTATTTTACCAAATGATTCATAGATTTCGACGAAGGAAAACGCCTTCCAGTCGTGGTGACTGCTTCTCCTCTGGCAATCAATCCTCGGACATCATTATGTTCACGAACAATGTACATTTTTTGATAATTTGATAGTTTATACTCATTAAATCTTTCGCAATATCTGCTTGGAAAGTTCTATAAAAATATAGTTGATTAAATATCAAAAATTAATAAATGTTATAGAATTAATATGTAATACACTCAGAACAAAATAAGAATTTCATTGTGTCGATCTGTGAATGTATATTTGATATTTATATAAAAATCTTAATTAATAAGCGTTAAGAAGTTGATGAACAGCAGCATATATTTTATATAATTTTTATTATCTCTTGGCATAAAATTATTTAATACTTACGTCAATGTCACAAGCAAGATTAGTTTCGCCGTCAATGCATTTATAAATGCAGTAGTTTTTGCGAACTTTGTAACGTTTTCCATTTGTAATACATACACCAATTGCTAAACAAAATAATATTTTCAAAACAACCGTCATTTCTATATGAATTTCGTAATGCTCTTATGAGCTTGTCTTTTATTGATATGGTAATTGGAAGCTTTAATTGAAACAGTAATTTAGCTCATCTGAAAGTTGATTACGTTTAGAATCAAATACATATTTTATCGTCAGTTTTAACTACACCGTATATTATATCTGCAATCCAATTAAATCCTAATGACCTATAAATCAAATTTTATCGCAATTTAGATTTTAATATGTCGGTTTAATAATTTTATTTAATTAGTTTCATCATTTGAAAATAAAATAATGCTTAATTAGTTTAAATGTTTGTTTGTTTTAACATTTTTGTTCTTGATTTATCGCTGTGATTGTTACTAAAATTTGCATTGGGTGTGTTTTAAAATACTTCGAAATAATTTTATCAAAACGAAATATATAAATATATAATTCAAGGAGAGCAACAAATAACGATAGCATAAATTATACGCTTTACTGATACTCAATAATTATGCAGTATATTTATATGTATCATTGCATTTATATTATTTACTAGAAAGAAAATTATTTTCATTTAATATTCCTTTCATTTAATTATCCTTATTAAAACAGATATAAAATAAAACCAATCATTGTTTCTTTCGTCAACTATAATATTACAAAATGTTCAATTCCTAATACTGGATTTTTAAAATACACGATTTTCTTCAATAATTACATATTTATTCTGTATTCTTGCAAAGGCCATTGACAACTTCCGTCTTGCAAGCTGATCCACTTGGACCGGAATCGTAAACCGAATGTTTTAGGACATTTCCATATACATAATTACATGCCAAAAGGTATGCATTGAATTTGCCATCCATGTAATGAACCATCCCACAACCAACCCTTGGAGATTGTGCCCAAATCAATTGAGTGAAATGTCCTATCATTTTTGGTGCAGCTGATTGTACAACTAATCTTTTAGTAGTTGTTGAAGTTTTCGACGAAGCTTGCGATTTTACGCTACTTTTTGATACAGATTTACTTCTGGGACGCTGGGCTACATCTAATTTTTTACTTGATGATGCTTTGGTACTGAAAATGTTAATTAGATTCAATAAATAATTTATTTTAAAAACTGGTTATGAAAGAAAACTTACGCTGTGATGGATTGTCTTGATGGAGGATGAGTAGGATTTGATCCAGTGAAATTTTTTATATCCGACAGTTGAACATATTCAATTTCGTTGTACCATGCCTCCACACCATTTTTGATTACATCTTTCATATTGTAAGTTGCTGTTGTAAACGCATTGAATAAGTTTTGGCCGTTTTGTGTTTCTAGAAAATTGAGAAAAATCATTATCAATCTATCATCATTTATCACAAACGTTTAAAAAGCATGCAATTGGACTCATGCACGTTTACTATTAACTTGTAATTTTTTTTGTATCTCTTATGAGAAATCCTGATATATTTAACAAAAGGCGCATAAAAAATAATAAAAATTTTGAATTTAAATTTAATTAAACCTGTATCTCGACATTTATCGTGCAACATTTCACATTGTAAAGTGTTCAGATATGCCAGGTAAGCCTGTTCTTCATCCCAAGCCTACAATGAAAACAATAAAATATTAACAATTTGAAATACTTATTAATAATGATTATAATAATATATAAATAATTGCAATATAGGTAAAATTTGCTATAGACCTATAATTATATAGCATATTTATTATCTATTATAGATTATAAATATTGTGTATACTCAGTGGTGTTGTCGAGCCGGAACGCGCCGGAACGTCGTTCCGGCAAATCATTTTTGAGCCGGAACGCGTTCCGGCAAGAAAAAATATAAAAACATCGCTACATACAGAAAATGATTTAATAAGTAAATTTTATACGTTATTATTCAACTAATTTTTATTAAATGTTATTATTGTAATAAACATACATATATGTGCACAAAATGGGTTTTGTAATAATTTTTGTTTCTTTCCTTTTTGAACGGAACTGGAAAAACATGAAAATCGGTTTTAGAACCGGTTTTTAAATTTTAGCGTTCCGGCAAAAAAACATTAGCACAAAACCACTGGTTTTATCAAAGTCGTTTTTAATTTAGTAACAAATTGAGGTGTATGAACTTCTTATAGAAAAAATAATATTTATAAATTAAATCTTACATTCATTCGCATTTCTTATACACTAACATCTACATCATAGGTTCCTATTCATGTATTTTTATAGCCTTACGTGTGCCTATACGTTGCATTCTATACTACACGCCTTACATCTGTACCATGCGCTATATTTCATTATATACTCTCAAATCCCTACATTGTATACCTAATACACCTAACCTATATCTACTATATATCCTATTACCTATAATTTCCCTTACACGCTACATTAACCCTACCGAGATTCGAACCCGGGTCCGCCGCGTGGCACGCGACGACCTTATCCACAACACCATCGTAACGCTACAATCAACCGTCTCTTTTCGCGTGTCGTCGCGCCACCTTAGTATTAATTACCTAATTAATTAGAAAATGACGCGCGGAAACAACAGTGCGTCCCATATTATATTATTAGTGGGGGTATCCGATAGGGTAGTGGTTAAGGTGCGCGACTTCCACGCGGAGGTCCCGGGTTCAATTCCCGGTATAGACAATAGGTAGGTAGAGGTAATACATAGAGCGTAAGGTAAACCTATATAATATAGGTGAATATATAAATTAGACAGTAGTATTTATAAGAAGTAAAAGGTATGTAGGGTATATAATAAGTTAATGACGGTATCGATATCTCACGGTATGATAATAGATATTTATCGATGATATACAATAATATAATATAGTATGATAGGTAATAGGTTATCTATCATATTATTAGGTTAAGTCTTATAAAGTATTGTAATAAATCTTGAGTACTTTTATATCATAATAAATACCTGTAGGTATTAATGAATACAAATAATACCAGAATAAATATGATTAATGTCATTGAAGAATATAAATTATGTACTCAATGATTCCCTCATACTTGTACAATTTAATGTATAGTCTAGCTGTGTATAATAGAGTTAATTATATGAAAAGTCAATATATTAGATTTGTGAGTTCTTATCGAAATATATCAAATTTTTTGAACGTTTAGCGTTCCGGCAAAAAAAATATTAGCACAACACCACTGTGTATACTATAAAAAATCTGTCAATTTCAAAGGAAGTTTGTAACAAACACTGAACAGGCTTAAATGATAACATGTAACTAGGTCTTTATTATAATGTTATACATCAGCAGTTGCTCAATATAGATTTATTTATGTCCTTTAGTTATAAAATACTTGTATATTATACTAAAATATAATTTGAGGGTTGTTCTTACCAGAGCGGTAATAAAATAAAAACACTGGTGGTTGATTGATGTTGATAATTTTATTCTTGACTATTTTCACAATTGAAGAATTTGTTTGATAACCCTTTGGTTATCTATAAGCAAAGACTTCATTAAAAAAACTGAATACTAAGCCTGACAGCCGATCTAAATCCTAACTTATTCGAATATATTAAATAAATTGTACGCAAAACGTGATTCCGAAATCTAATAACACAAGGACAGAAGAACTTTGGATAACACTCAAATAGTACGTAGTAAGGCAATGCATAATGAATTATATATACTCGTATATATATATATATATATATATATATATTACAAAATAATACAATTTAAATTATATATATATTGCCTCTTTGTGGCGTCAATTTAAATCGATAAAATTGAATTAGTTTCAATTTACTAAGGAAATTTTTAAGATCAAAGCTTCTAAATTATTAATATAAATGTTATCTATCTACATCATTAACATCATTATTATAGTAAAGCAATAATAGCAAGTATTATTTTAATTAATATTTCGATAATATATTATTTATTTACCAATTCTTTCATATTAGCCGCAGTAGGCAAGCTGACACCAGCTCCATTTTTTGCATTACCCAACGCAACTGTACTTCGTTTTGCATTGTGCGTTTCTAAGGCGAATTTAATTTCATCTGCCCCAAAATTCAGCTTTTTGAATTGATTACATTTTGAACTTGGTTTTTCCTATGTGTAAAATATCGAATTCAAATATTACTTATTGATAAATCAGAGTTTATTGCAGAGTCTGAGGTCTAAGGTTTCATTTTACTTACTGTATGATTACAAGCGATGTTTGGTATTCCTTTGCAATCGAATTGGCAGTAATCTTTTTTCTGATATGTAGGTGTTACCAGAAATGTCAATATTAGAACTGAATAATTAACTGCAAAATATTGTTATGATATAAACAAATGCATATCAAAATTGTCAATATCAACCATTAACTTTACCGATATTTTTTGTCTTCATTTTACTAGTGAATTCGTTTGCATTATAAATGTATTAAATCATGTTGGATTATATTTTTGAATTTTTATAATATGCCAAATGACGTTTCTTTTGTTTGGCGTAATTAAAGTCAACATTCTCGCTGAGCGATAATTGCAACATTATATGATATAATCTTTCCGATCTTATTACGAATTCATAAATATGAACATGAGGTATTGAGAATATTTATTCAATTATTACATACACAATTATACAAAATTATTATGTTACAAATTCACAAATTTCAAAGTACCGACATGTGAAATATTACATTTACACTTGTAGTTACAATACTAAGAATTTTTAATGTCCTCCTATATATGTCCGGAGAGCCTGACAAATATACTCTGGCACCTATCACATTTCCATAGACGTAGTCACATGTAAACAAATAATTGTTATCACCGTGATTCGTAAAATTGCTAATGGCACAACCGACTGATGGTGTTATTGCCCAAACCAACTGCGTAAATCGGGAAATATCCAGCTTTCTGTAATTTACCCAAAAATAGTAATAATTAATGGTTCAACAAATCAAATTATAGCATTACTTTCATTCAATACTATTACAGATGGAGCAAGATATATACGAAATAGAAATATTAGCTAATTATTAATTTGTTATATGTTCAATAGTATTATCGAATGAAACAATTTGAGGTTTACTTACGAGTCGCCATATTTTTTAATATCAGAAATTTCAACGTCCTTAACTTCATCAAACCAACCCTCGAGAGCATCATCGACAATATCTTCTAAATCAAGATTGTCTGTGTCTTTGATAAACCATATATTTTGACCATTGTGAGTTTCTGTAAATTCATATAATAATATCTATAAATATAATCATATTTATTGTTTTACCGAATGTGTTATTTTACTCAACTTGTATCTCGACAGTAGTCATACCTCATTTTACAATTTAAGATATTAAATGAGGCTAAGTATTCCAATTCATCATTCCATCTCTGTAACATAAATTTATGAAATGGAAACATTTTGCGAAAACATAAAATAAAAAAAACTAATCTTGCACATTTTTGCTAATTAATTATAGAGAAACGACTTGGCCAATCGTCCCACAACACTATCATAGCGCGTTCTACCGATTTTTGCGAAATGACTTTTAAGTTTTTGAAATCAGTTGAGCCGTTTTTTGAGAAAAGATAGACAAAAGAAAAAATTTCAGACCAGACGCATTCACAATCGTACATATATACACATCTGGTTTTTGCATTTTCGTACTCAAGCAACTTAATAATAATTAAGTGCTTGAAACATAAACTTCAGTTGCGCTAATTTAAAAATAGTAGGTGCTATAAGTACAGTTTCTAATGTATACGAGAACATAAAAATGCACATTACTAGTTCTGTCATGTCCAAAGCTGGTGGCAATTGTTCACCGTGCCTATTGTGTGCAAGTCCTTCCGCCACGTATTCCCGTAATTCATTGTGTTTATTTAAGATGAAACTACGACCATCAGCATCTATTTCCATCCGGTGATAACTCTCACATTGTTCATCGGGTTCACCCTAAATTTGAATCAAACTAGCAAAAAGTTTTGCAATCCAATAGTGTTTTTGATAAAAAAATATAAAAACTTACCGAATTATTGCACGCTATATTGAAATATTTGCCGCATTTGTATGCGCAAAAGTCGGTAGAATTATAACTTAGGACCAGTAAAATTGGAAATAGTAATATTTGGAGAAAATTATTTCTTGAAAATAGCGTCATCTGTTCAATGAATTCACTAATGCTATTATTATTTACTTATTATTATTTAATATTAACTTTATTGTTAGTCAACTGTATGGTAGAACAAGATTCCAACAGATATGTCATAATTATGCTAATAATTAAGTTTGGTTCATTTGTTTTCAATACATATCAGAAATATCAATCTTTAAAATCTGCATAGAGAATACAGGTCAGGTTGTCTACATTCCATAGACCTTATAATACATGTACTGCTAGTCGAGGCATAAAAATGTGTCAAAAGACAAAAAGTGATAGTGACGTCACCGGGTGAACGAGCGTAGTTGAGAACCGTCGAATACTCCGGTTCAAATACCACGGTAACTGTTATGACATTTAAAGAAATTGGGAGTATTCGACGGTTTTCGGCAATACTCCTTTACCCGGTGACGTCACTATCGCTTTCTTTTTTTGATAGTATTTACGTAGACCAAATAATAAATATTTTTTAAGAGGTCTATGACTTTTAAACATGGGAAACATATGAGGCCTAGCAGTCCATGCTTTATAAACTCTGTGCTACGTTAACATTCAACTATAACTCATTAAAACCACTCTTTATTTTAATTTTGAAACATCAAAAATGAAAAATTGAATCTGCAACATATTTACACAATAAATACTAACGTCAACTTATTTTCGTTTGTGGATTAATATAAAAAATAGTCAAGCTACTTTTGCCGTAAGTTTTGTCAAAACTTTATCAAAACTTTGTGTTTGATTTATTATTTATGATTAAGATTTTTGTGAATCCATAGAAAAAATGAAAAAATATTTATTGATGTTCTAATATCTTGGAAAATTGATTCAGAAGCAAACATTAATAAAACAATGTAATAATTTTGATAATAATATATTATTCTGCAATTATTTTTATTTAAGATATTAAACTTCAGATATTATAAGTTCGATTTCAATCAAAGACATAAGCCTTTTTCACAACCATTTGGGCAAGCAGAACAAGTTACCACTGCTGTATGTGCTGACTGCGCAACCCACTTTATCAGTGTTTCCCCAAATTACTTGAGTGTAATGACCAATTGCTTTCTTGCTAAAGGAAAAAAATGTTTATATCATTTTTTTAAATAAAGAAAGATCAAGCTTTTACAGATGTAGTATTGTCGTTTTTTTATCCTTACTACTTGCCCTGGCAGATGTACTACTAGCCTCAAATACAGAGTATGTTTTATTACCGCAGTTTTTTTTTAAAATAATAATAGAAAATATATTAATAAATAATTATTAAAGCATGCTTCATTACACATCATTGAAACAAATCAATTGCACTATTAATTTTTAAGGTATATTCTCTATTGCATACGTTTTATTCTTACCTATGCAAGAACACTATAATATATCGGTTTAGCTATTAATATTATAAATTTGTTATTTATAATCTTTAAATTAAATTTTAGGTACGTTAATACATTATCTTGCATAATTTGTAGCGCTATATTAGGTCTTTAGTAAATTCAATCCTAATTTTGCAGTGTTTCAAATAAATTGTTGTTTTTCAAGTTGAAATGTAAAAATGAAGTTTGAAATATGAAAATTATTAAATGACTTACTCTACATAAATTGTTGAGAGTTTCTCTATGTCTGATTTTCGTGTGTATTTATTTTCACTGTACCAAGCTCCTACAGATTTTATAGCTCCTTGAGGATTAATTGTTCCTGTTGTGCCAAAAGCGTACAGATTCTGACCACTCCAACCATGACCTATGTTAAAAATTGTAAATTATTTTATAAATTATTTGTTATGTGTAATATTCTGTATTTTATTCAATTAATATATGAAATATCTTACTTGTCCTAGCACAATCATGGTTCATTTTGCAAGTTTTCACATTCAGCGAGGCTAAGTAAGCTAACTCGTCATCCCATTTCTGTTTTTAAAAATAATTGATGATTAGTACGCATGCTTCGAGAGAAACAAGAAGATATAATATCAAGCATATGTGTCGCTAAGGACTGCGATGAATATAATAAATTTTAATTTGGCTATGTGTCTAATTTACAATATAGATAAAATGCAAATGAAGTGCAAAAATGTAACTAATCATAAGTCCAGAAAATATACGTATAGAAATGTGTTTGAAATGTAAACTATTAATTACAAAATGTTGAATTTGTATCTAGAAATAAAATTCTACTGCAATAAGCATAGGCAATATAAATGTATTCTGGTATGGTTTATGTCTTTTATCTGTCATTATTGAAAAACAAAATCAAAATTTTTCGAAATTACTACAGGCACAGTTTTATTATACCTAACAAATTTATTGTTAATAATAAAGACTCTTCTTTACCAGTTTCATCATTTTCGCAGCAGTTGGTGCAGTTTCGTTATCTTTTATTAGTCCTACTCCTCTAGCCACAAGACTTCTGAAAAAGTTATGCTCGTCCAAAAAATCCTGCTTCAATTCTTCGGTCATAGGAACATCCTGATAATCCACACATGTTTCGGCTGGAGCACCCTTCAAATATAATTTTCAAAATAGTAAATACATATTGAAAATTAAATTCATGAAATAATAATTGCCATAGAAAAATAACTAGATATTAGAATCAAATAGAATGTTGAGTTCAGCAATATATTTAATTTTTCACCGTATTATTGCATCCAACATTTTGCTGCGATCCACAGGGGTACTTGCAGTAGTCTTCGGCATTCACCAAAACTGCCACCAGAAGCAAAGAGAATACAGTGTAGGAAACTAAAATAAGAGCGAGTTTTGATTAACATTATTTCTTATTATTTATTATTTAATTTTAATGCAAAAATTTTTTTGACTTACGCATGGTGCGTGCTATAATATTATGTCTCAAATTGTATTCTATTTCTGACCTATTTATATGAACAGAAGCAACACATAATTCCTTCAGCATTAATGATAAAATATTGCGTATAAATTTATTCTTGGAAAATACATTTGTTGACGTTTTTCTTGTCGTTGATTAATTCTTCAATTTCAATAATGATAATTTGATTTGATAAACATGCGAAAAGTTAAATAATTTTTGCCACAACTTGTGTACAATGCACTTTTCGAGGCACTTATCAAATGATAAGCAATTGATAAATTGATAAGCGCCTCGGAAAGTGCATTGTACTAAGGTGACCACATACGTCCCGGATTGGCCGGAACAGCCCCGGTTTTCCGCCTTGCGTCCCGGCTTTCTCTAAAAGCAATATTGGTCCCGGTTTAAGGTGTTTTGTCGCGGATTTTTAAAAATGTTTTGATTGCCAATATATTTTTAAATATATTTCAACTACGAAATTTGAACCGAAAAAATGTGCATATAAGTTTTTCACCAACACCTCTCCTCCCAACCGCTCTAACACACATTCTAATCCGTCCCGGATTTCATGCAAAAAAATATGTTCACCTTAATTGTACACAAGTCGTGGCAGAAACTATTTAACTTTTCACATTTTTGTCAATTAAAATTATTAATATTTTTTTTACTTTTCATATACAAAAATAATAAAAATTTATTGTGTTGACAACTTAGTTAGCTAATTCACTGATGATGACATTAAATTAAATGTCGAAATGTTTAGAATTAAAGATTATTTTATAAATCTTTGCCTTTTGTCTATATATATATATGTATATATATATTATATGTTTCATAATAGTTTCTAAATATTGAGTTTACATACCCATTTTGTAGTACCTCTTCTCGTGACTTGATTTCCACTAGTCTATACAATCCTATTTATATGAACAGTCAAAATGTATTTTTTTTAATATGCTTAATTTTTTATTTTCATAAATATACAATGCTTATGTACATAGTTATTACTACCAATTTCAAATAACACTTTACACTTATTAACTATCAAATTATCATTTTAGGTAGAAATTACTTGATAAGACTGCATTTATAACTATTGTAAAACATTGTGATTTAGGATTGCATTATGTTAATTGCGTTTCTTGTATACAATTATATACAATATTTTGGAATATGATCCATAAATTATTACTAAGTCGCTTTGATTTAGGCATTTCAAAAGATAAAAACGACATTTTGTTTTAAATTCAAATTTATGCAAAGTTAAGCTCTAAATTAAATATTGCATAGAATGTAATTATTTTTGGAATATTGAAAATATTTTAATTTCACTACAGCTTTGCATATTCAAAGTGATTTGTTAAATATTAAACATGTAGTTTGTGAAAACATATGTACATCCATAATTCATGCTATTGCATTTTTGAATTATAATTAAAATTATCATACAGACTATGTGATATTAATTTTTTGTATATAACTTTCATTAGTTATTATGGTGCCGTTCGTGGATTTTTTCTATTCAAATTCTACATAATTTCATTTCAATGACAATAGTTTATTGATTAGAGAATTTTCTTATCAATTTTATTGTAATAATATCAGTTTCTGGAAACTTAAGTTTTTAAATTTTGAAGTGCGGACAGTGTCTTGTAAGCGAACTGGTACACCTGATTGGAAAAATTGCTGGTGAATATTTTGTGATAATACATCTTTATGAAATAAAATCTACTAGTACTTGTAATAATTTTATAATATGAAATATAAAGCATAAACTAATTTTGACAATTACAAATGATCAAAAATATTCATTAATATTGTTAAATAACTACTACATGAAAATAATTTCATCTTTCATCAAAGATTTATTATATTATGAGTATTATAAATATTGGATTAGACTAATTAAGCTAGTGGGGCGCATGGCATCGTGCCTTAAGGCAAATTGCTGAAACTTCCCGTACCAAAAATTTTTTTTTTTTTTAAAGATTAACATTTTTGAAAAAAAAAAATACTTTGGAAAAATTAGAATTAGCAGAAACTATAAATTTTTGACAAAATTTTACATTTTTTGAAACAAGAAAGACTCTTTCGTTTTCTTTATTTTGAAATAATTTGAAAATTCTGAACCTTTTTTCAAAGCAATCGTACTGCTTTAACTGCATTCAGACGAAATATCGCAGTCCATACATTATAAATTCTGTGCTACGTTAACTTTCAACTATAACTCATTAAAGCCACTTCTTATTTTAATTTTGAAATACCAATCAAAAAGAATTGAATGCTTTAACATTTTTATACAAAAAATAGTGACGTCTATTTACTCTCGTTTATATATTAATATAAAAAAATAGTTGAGCTATTTTTTCGCCGTAGGTTTTTTCTATCAAAAATGTATCGAATTTTTGTTTGATTTATTTTAATGGTTTTTGTGAATCCTTAGAATTCTAAAAATGAAAAAATATATATTAATGCTTTAATATCTTGGCAAAATTGTTTAGATACAAACATAAATGAAACAATGTAATAATTTTGATAATAATATATTATACTGCATTTATTTTTACAAAGAGATATAAAAACATTTATGAAAACGTCAGATGTAGTAAGTTCGAATCCAATCATAGACATAAGCCTTTTTCACAACCATTTGGGCAAGCAGAACATAATTTACCAATTTTATACACAGATGCTCCAAGAAGGTTGCCGCCGCGGTAGTTGCATGTAACAAGCAATTTATTCCATTTACCGCTCTTGAATGTGCTGGCGGCGCAACCTACTTTATCAGTGTTTCCCCAAATTACTTGTGTGTAATGACCAATTGCTTTGCCACTAAAGAAATATATAAAATTAAATTATATATATATATATATATATATATATATATCACATTTAAGTTTTTGTCTGAATGTCCTTTACCCTCTACAAGCGTTGAGTTCGCCAAAAATAGTGAACTTTTTTTTCGATAATGTTCAAAATTTCAAAACTTCAAAATCGTATAACTCAAAAACTTATTGATCTTGTTGTATAATTTTTTTGTGACGGATTTTCTAATGAAAACTCTTTAATTGGACTTCTTTTTGGGCTTTTGCTGATTTTCAACTTGAAAACATTGAAATGTTGAGTATTGAAATGATTTTTTCTGAATGCCATTTTTGGCTATCTGTGACAGATACGTCAGATCTTTAGTAAGTTAAATACTGATCTCGCAGTGCTTCAAATAAAATACTACCTTTTTACTACCGTAAAAACTATATCAAATTACTTACTTTACATATACACCTGGAAGACTCTCTATGTCGGATTTTCGGGTATCTCTATTTTCATTGTACCAAAGTAATACAGATTTTACAACTCCTTTAGGATCAATTGTTCCTGTTGTGGCAAAACTGTATATATTCTGACCACTCCAACCTTTGCCTATGTTAAAATTAATTCATAAATCATAATTCATGAGCAAATTTTACATTTTGAAATAATAAATCAAAGATTTTTGTATATAATATTTTGTATATCTTACTTGTATCGGCACAATCATGTTCCATTTTGCAAGTTTTCACATTCAGCGAGGCTAAGTAAGCTAATTCGTCATCCCATTTCTATTTTTGAAAAAAAAGGATAATTAACAAAAATATCAAAACAAATAACAAAACGATGTGGAAATATATTTTTAAATGCGTTAGCAATGCTTTTAACTTCGTAACTATCAATAACTGAAACGTTTAGTTCCTTAGTAGAATTTCATAATAGCGATAATCAAATGCAATTCTATTTGTTTTTTTCTTTGATCCATACGTCAATGAGAGTAGTAATATAAACGTTTTTTAGTATACTGCTACGGTTTATCTCTATTATCTGTTATTATTAATGAGAAACAGAATATAGATCTTTTTTTTTAAATTAGACATATTACTATGCAAAAAACTTAAACAGTTTTGATATATCCAAAAAATCATTTTTTTACTTAAAAATACTTATGACTAGCTTGACTTCTCCATATTTACCAGTTTCATCATTTTTGCAGCAGTTGGTGTAGTTTCGTTATCTTTCAATTCTCCTACTCCCCTAGCCACAAGACCTCTGAAAAAGTTATGCTCATCTAATAAATCTTGCTTCAATTCTTCGGTCATTTCTATGTCCTTGTAATCCACACAAGTTGAAGCAGGAACTCCCTTCAAATATAATTTTCAAAATAGTAAATTCATATTAATAAATAAACCTATTGTAATTGACATGAAAAAAACTAAATATTAAGTTTATTAAAATAAAATATAATATTTAGGAGTTTAATAATAAGAATAATGTATTAAATTACTATTTAAGCAATATATCTAATTTTTTACCGGATTATTGCATCCGACATTTATCTCCGATCCACAATTGTACTTGCAGTAGTCTTCGGCATTCACCAAAACTGCCGCCAGAAGCAAAGAGAACACAGTGTAGGAAACTAAAATAAGAACAAATTTTGATTAAATCATTTATAAATATTTATAACAAGCTCTATCCGTTCATGCTTTGCCGTGATTTAGTTTAAATTAAAAAGTTGAACAAATATGTGCATTTGTTACATTTAGTTTAACGTTACTACTATCTGTTCAACAATTTACCTGTTTAACAATTTGTCTACTAATTTACCTATCAACCTGTTTATCAATCTACCATTTTACCGGCCTTTTTTATATAAGATTTATTTTTTATATAACAATATGCAAAAATTATTTTGACTTACGCATGATGCGCGCTATAATATTCAGAGTCAGATTGTATACTATTTCTGATCTATTTATATGAACAAAAACAACACATAATTCCCAACCTTAGCTTTAATGATAGAATAATGCGTATGAATTTTTTCTTGAAAAATTCTTGTTTTGTACGTTTTCTTTTTATTTGATTAAGTTTTCATATCAGATAAGATTGATTTTAGAATTATAATCAAATATAATTTCAGTTCGCATTATGATCAAACTAAAAAATATGAACAGGATCCAATTTCAAATTGCCATAAACGCATATAACTTATTTGGGATTGAAACTATAAATAACTTTTTTTCTTTTTTTCAAAGAATATCAGGTAACCGATTGATTGAAATAATTTTGAAGAAAAATAAAATTTGCGGTACCGTGATAACAACGCAGAATCAACGTATTTTCTAAGCTTTCTTTCATTAATAAAATTTTAATATATATATATATATATATATATATATATTATAAATTTATAATATATTATATATATATTATGAATTTGTTCTATAATAATTTCTAAATATTGAGTTTACTTACCCATTTTGTAGTAACCTCTTCTCGAGACTTGATTTCCACTGGTCCATACAATCCTATTTATATGAAAAGTCAAAAATGTATCTTTTTTAATATGCATAATTTTCTATTTCCATAATTATACAATGAATTCTGTACATAATTATTGATATCAATTTCAAATAACACTTTACTCTTATTAACTAATAAATTATCATTTTAAGTAGAAATTACATGATAAGATTGCATTTATAACTATTGTCAAACATTGTGATTTAGGATTGCATTATGCTAATTGCGTTTTTTTGCATACAATTATACACAAAATTTAGATATATGATCCGTAAATTATTACTAAGTCGCTTTAATTTAGGTATTTAAAAAGATAAAAACGGCATTTTTTAAAAATTCAAATTTATTCAAAGTTAAGCTCTAAATTAAATATTGCATACAATGTGATTATTTTGAAATATTGAAATTGTTTTAATTCCACTACAGATTTGCATATTCATAGTGATTTGTTGAATATTAAATATGTAATTTGTGTGAACATTCAAATCCAACATAAATTTAGTTCAACCATAATAGATAAGTATTTTTCTTATATCAATTTGATTGTAAAATCAGTTTCTGGAAACTTAAGTTTTCAAATTTAGAAGTACGGACAGTGTCTTGTAAGCGAACTGGTACACCTGATTGGAAAAAATATAGGTGAATATTTTGTAATATTACTTTTTTTATGCAATAATATCTACTAGACTTGTAACAATTTTATAATTTGAAATATAAAGCATTTATTAATTCTAACAATTACAAATGATCAAAAATATTCATTGGGAATTAACATTTTTAAATAACTACTACATGAAAATAATTTCATCTTTTATCAAAGATTTATTATATTAGGAGTATTAAAACGTAATACTGCAATATAAATAATACAAGAAATTCATGAAATAAAACATAGCATTAGGAAAAGAAAATGTTGTAATAATACTGAATATTAACTGTTTACCGCAATCATTGTTTCTAATGTCATAAAATACCAAGCTGCTTTGAATCTTATGGGCTTAGAAGATCTTGAAGCAATAATCATGAGAGCTTGTATATTTCTTTTATTATATCTGTACCATTCTGCATTATATACAGCCCCTACTAAAGCTTCACTCTAATGTAAATATTATTCATTATAATAATAAATCATAATATTATTGAAGCATATTATTGAAGGCTTGTGCATTTACCTCTATCCCTATTTCATTATAGCTCCAAATGCATGTAATCAAAGTCGAATTCATCAATAAAGTATATAAGGATAGAACAAAATAGTCAAGTCCCAAATCAGTCTGCAAAGATGAATTTTTATATGTAACAAAAATTCCTTACAAATATGTAATACTTTAGTACTTACATAAACTATTGTGAAAATAGTACAGCATATTATAAGCGAAACTGACATTATGTGAACTGTATTTTTTATAAAATACATTTTATGTACTTCATTTGCAAAACTGAAATTTGAAGGTTATATTATTTTACTTCAATCTACTAACTTATTTGTTACCTTAATATTTTTAAATGATTTTTAACGCAAGCTGTAATAGTGCAATATCTGACATCCTGTAAAATATTAATATTGGCTACAGTTTCTCTAAATTTTTGCGGAAATATATCACTGTAAAGTGCTAAAGCAAATCTCTCATTGTTCCTCACTCGATAATTCAGGATCTCCAACTTTAGTCTCATATGTAACATAAGAACAATGTTCAAATAGTTTGCACTGCTGTGAAAGAAACTCACATGCCACGAACATAAAGTACAGATGAAAAAATTCACGAAATTTTTATATTTTATATCTTCAAATGGAAGTGATAAAAATATGAGCACAGGTTGATACTTCTTTTCGCTACCAAACGTGTCGATGTAGTACCAAATAAAATACGGAATAAAAATTAGCAGTTCACAAATTGCAAACCCGAATAAGAATATTCTGTATACTTGATTATTTTTATAAAACTTGCGTAATAACTTTTTCTCAAATTCATCCCCATATCTCTCCAATTCATCAATTTCTATTCTCACTTGATTTATTAATTTATACATAAATTTCTGACGATATTTCAAAGTGACCATAGACACAATTTCAGTTGTTGCTAAAACTGTAGCACTGAGGGCATTTGATACTGATTCGAATTCTCGAAGATGCCCAATTAGAAAAGAATATTGAGCAGCATTTGCCAATATCAAAATAGTCACTAATGTTATATTTATTGCTTCTTTAAGATAACTGGTTTGTGGAGACATCATTGCTCCAAGACCATCGAGAATTTTTAAGCTCGGAAAGAAAATATCAGTTGTTGGTTTAAAAGACATAATGAAATGTGAATTATTACTTCATCAGATAGATACGTTGTGGTTTATTTATTGATTTATATTTTATGTCGTTTTTGCTTAAATAGTAACTGAAGAATCAATTGCTATGTTGTAATAATATAGCACCGATGGAAAAGATTTTATAAGAAATACAAATATAAACTAGTTGGTATTGGTATTTTGCCTTGGGGCAAGTTACATGAACTTCCCGATATGTGTGAATAATCGACTTAATCCTTAAAAAAAATCCTAAAAATCGTAGATTTTTTTTTTTAAAACTATTACAAGGAAATGGCCCGGCCGATCTTTACGAAGAACTAATCAGCACGATTTCTAACCAATATCTATCAAACGGTTTTTGAATTTAAAAAATCAATTTAGAATTGCGAACTAAAACGTGGACGATTAAATTTTCACTTTATTGCGATTTACAAAGAAACGGCCCAGCTGATCGTCGCACATAACTCTAAAACCTTAGTCGTCATCGAGATTCATCGAATGGCTTTTAAATTTTCAAAATCGGTCCCTCCGTTTTTGAGAAAACGTTGATTTACGGCAAAAAATCTGTTCACACACACGCTCACACACACATATTTATTCCAAATTTGGTCTCAATCGATTCAGAATGGCTTGAAACGACGAGAAAACATAAAATTAGCAAATCGGATTTTTTGATAAAAACATAAACTTCTCCTTTGGGAAGTTAATAAAATTATTTTGAAATTAAAAAAAGTTAATTAACGTAATCATGTACATCTGTGAATTAAAAAATTCTAATAATTTCAGCATTTTTAATTAAACATGTTTAGTCTAAATAAAAAGTTCGGTCATATATCAATTTTTTTTGACAATTTACATTAACATAAAATTCAGTTATAATCATAATTTACTTTGCTCAGATAAAATAGTCAACATTTTCAGTGTTTTTATTATTTTATTAATAAATACCAAAATATTGTCAGAAATTGATATTTTTGTTAATTTTGTTAAAATTCATTGGTTTCATTATTTCAATTACACAATTAATATATGTTAGCAAAAAGAAATAATATCAACAAATAGTTGTAATTCAAATTAAAATGAAATCATATTCAATATAAGTTTTAAAAAAAGTAGTATTGGGGTACGTATCTTCAGATTTCAAATATTTCATACTTGTATTCAAAATTGAACTTCAAATTTGTTTTAAAGATTCCCATATAAAATATAGTATGTGGCATTCAATGCTCATAAGTTTTTAAAACATATTATTAGAGCATTTAGAATTCTGTTTTATTTCAAACGTAGCATTTAATTATGTTGGTTCTGTTGACATCATTGCATTAATTTTTATTTAATAATATTGAAATGTAATTTATCCCTTTTAATAAAATTTGTTATAGAAGTTTTATTATATACGACCAAGTTTAATTATTAAATCATACATGTGAAATATGCTTGTCATTGGGAATTGGCAGGGCTGACACGTGTTTCGCAAATTGTACAATAATTAAAATAACTGAATAATTTACGTTTTGTACAGCTGATGACAATCAAACGTTTATTTTGGACTATGGTATAATAACACTGAATTATGCACAAATAAACGCCACTCGAATTTTCAGTTGGACATTATAAATGAAAATTTAGACACTTTACGAGTTGTATTTGAAACTGGAATCTTTTGCATTATTTAAAAGTAATTGTTAATGAATATACTAACGTTTTCCACAATAATGGAGTATAATTCCTAGTATTTTTGTTGCTACTGAAAGTATTACAATTTTTGCTAAAAAACACGTTCAAATAATGAGTAATATATCCAAATATGCTAAGCATATATAAATATAGTCATTATTAAAAAAAATTTAACTTGATTGCAGTATAACTATAGTATAATTTTTGCATTATTTTAACATGTTGTCAGGTAGACAGATAGACAGTTAAATAGGCAAACAAGTCGACAGGTTAACAGATAGAACGGTAAACTAATAGACTAGTTTAGAAGGCTAGACAGGTTGTCGGGTAAAAAGTTGAATAAGTATGGTTAATCAGGTGAACATATTATAACATAGATAGACAGGTTAACAGGCAAAAAAGCAAACAGATAAATATAAATATAATAATTTTATTTGAACAGCGATCAAAACCCATAAGGTTCTATGAGCTGTTGTGATTAAGATCTTACAAACTACGTTTGTTTCATTACATATGGCAACCCAAACAGTTTCACATCTCTGTATGATAAATTTTTATTACCATCTCTGTAATAGGGCAAGTATGGTGCAACAATGCCGAGTGAGGGCTATTTTCACTTGGAAACATATTGCTATCTATATTTCCAAGTAAAAATCGTTGTCAATGTTGCCTGACAACAGGCTGCTCGAAGTGGGTATCGAACCCGGGACCTCTGAAACAAGTCCCATCGCTCTTAACCGCTTACCTACGGGCGAGCCCAAACAGATAAATATGTAGGTAATCAGGTAAATAGGTAGAATAGATACACAGGTAGACAAATAGACAAAGTGGTAGATTAATAGACTTATAGACAGGTTGATATGTAGACAGGTAGACAGGTAGGCAGGTAGAAAAATGTAGGGTTGAAAAGCTAGATAAGTAACGACATAGCCAAGTATACAGGTAAACATAAAAATTTACCATATTTATATTATATTCATTTTACTAATAAACAATAG